CACACATAATATATGTAAGTGCTAATACCTCTAAATAAAAGCGATTACATTTAAATTAATTATAAACATCATTTCCTGCTTTCAGCATATAGAATTTTTCTCTAAACTGAAAAGAATAGAGTCGATTGGTGTATATCATTCAACGGATAGCCTGCCATTAAGTATGTGGTTTCGGTCCGAGCGATTTAAATAATCGGGAATCGAGTAGCATTCCTAACACCATGGGTTTCTTCTGGGTTCGACAGCCCCCCCCCCCTCCTAATCTCAATGTTTAAGACCACTGCACGCTTGCGATGTATTACAAGAAAGATATGTTAGTCCCAACATAACCCAATTTGTGAATTTCCTTCATATCTCTTAATATAACTATAGATTACTTTTCGTTTAACCCTTTAACAATTCATAATGTACAGTAAAATCTCTTAAATAGACCTATAAATTCTTTCTCGTTCAACCCTTTAACAATTTATAATGCACAGTAATATCTCTTACATATAACTATAAATTCCTTCAAAATATTTATTTCATTTCAGGTAATTGACAACAGGCAAGTCTTTGACTCCTGTACACTGCACTTTTATTATTTATTATAAAAAAGTTCAAGAGCAAAACTTGTGTTTTGTATTTTGCAATATAAACTAGGGCATTTGCTATATATTTCTGGGAAAAAACGTATATACAACATGGACTATGTAAAAGAGGCGTTCGGAAACAATTTCTACATGAACCCAGCTAATGAAGAGTTAATGCGCTATGCATTTAATTAAGGATTATTTTAACTGCCCCCTCCCCCCTCCCCTTCCCACGAACTACAAGGGACTTCTTTCCTATTTTGACGAGAGAAAACCAGACTGAAAAATCCCGACGGACCAAACAACACCGGGACCAAACCCGGGACCTCATGATTGGTGATTCGGCGCCATATTTACCGTGACGCCACTGCTATATGAAAAGTCCCGCAATGGATATGTCAGCAAATGTCCATTGCTTGCTACCGCGGTCGTCTTAAATGAAAATCCTGCACTGAAACTTTAGATTTGTTCAGATATATCAGTCTTATACGTGGAATATCTTTATACGTTCGTACCATCAATAAACCAATTGACGTCACAGCTAAATTTACTGAGTACAATTCCAGGTGTTAGATAACGGCCTTTGATTATTTGAAAATAAATTTAAAAAATTGTTTAAATTCCTACTTCTCTGAACCAAATGAACTATTGAAGATAGGCATACTGCTTCGAATTTCAAAATTAAGGAACCTTCTCCGTGCATTCCAACGTGCACACGGGATCTCGGATTTGCATTCCATCCGAACGACTAAATTTTGTTTCTTGGCAGGTCATCCCTGCGCCAGTGACAAGGCAATACTACGCTGAAGAATCACGGACAACAGTCTCAATCAGAACCTCTGAGATCGCGTTGTTTATAGCGACTAACGTTTTGTCGACTGAGCCACCGTGGCTTCACATTAAATAAAACAAAAATGTTCAATTTTATTGGATAGAGAAGATTATAAATACCGCTGGCGAAGTCTAGTTTCATTTGAACTGAAGTAGGCGGGGTTTATTTATATTTTGAGGAGGAATTCAATACAATACACTTGACTCGTTATAAATTAAATGCTAATAAACTATCAAATTCCAATGGCAAACAAAAGTAGCATAATTATTTGAGAATAAATTATCTTCAAGTATTTATGAAAAGGGATGCGTCTACCCATGTTCCAACTGCTTATTAAGAATTCTGGTTCTTCACAGGTTCTTGTTTATACCTAGAGAAGACATCGTTGCAATACTATTACGTACGTGTTATTAAAGACACCGGCTTATTAACTTCTGATCTGAAAACCGTGTAATCTGGGAGAAGTGGCAATTGGTTAAACATGAAAGTCACTGAATAAATATTGTACAAAAAGAGGGAGTTCACAATTGGATTATTTTTCACGGTATAAATAAAAGTTTGAAAATATCAAGTTAATTCGATTTAGGTAACCATGTTTTGTGCGTGGATTTGCAGCTTTTTGTTTCTTTGGATGTGCGTATCTGTTGGAAAGGGAATAACTAAGCAGGACCGAAACATCGCTCGAAGCTACAATTATCCTTATAATCAATTTAGAGGGTTTCAAAAGACAGTTCACAGTCCCTGGATTAAAAGACCACATCAATATGAAACACGGCCAATAGACCCCCAATCTTATTTTCGCATGTCTGCAGGTTCAACGGATCAAGCAAGAAGTGTTTTGCAACCCTTGTGGAAACGGGCTACTGGGTATTGTGGAGATCTACATCGTAACTTAGACGAGATATTACGGAACACCAACACATACCCAATAGTTAATAACTATGGTTATTATGATTCAAGAATACTACATCAACCAAGTCCTAAGACCAGCAGATACCCTTATTACAACATCGGATCACGTCCAAACGGTATGATGGATGATCCTACAAAATTGCTGAACAGGTTAGAAAATGTGATATTGCTCTATAGGAGAAAGGCAATGGAAATAATACCAAACATCGGGATACTCAATATAACTTCAAGACAAAGGCTGCTCAAAGACTATCTGGCAATTGCTGACCGGTTGTATATCCTGTTTGTTCGCCTTTCTACCCAATTAAAGATGTATTTAACAGGAATGGTGGACAGAAGAACTTGGATGTTGAAGCTGCTGATGGATTTATCCAGTCTCACAATTCATAAAATGCAGCCAAGGCAACAAGGTGTCCCAATAAATGAGATTCGTAAATATTTTATGCAGTTGGGGACAATTGAGCGTACGTTGAACTTGAATTGTTTGATTTATTTCCTGGAAAACATGTCTCTAAAACAATCAATGGATAACCCAAAACCAACAAGTACCGAGCCAACACCAGTGGTTACCACCAGTTGGATGTTACCGTTCAGTAATCTACGCAATATAACTTATGGCTCTGTTTTCTACTTTCCAGAAAAATCCGAAACTTTTAACAAGGCTGGGCAAAACTAAATATCTATATTCTTTGGAACCAACAATATAGAATTGTGGCTGATATTAATCTGGGTTTTCTTTTCAACTTTATAAATGTGCATTAAATAGAGAGTGTTTTAATTAACCATATATGATACCCCTGTTGCTTTACGTCGTCATTAAAATAATTCACAAATGTCCACTTAGTGCTCGGATATAAGGAACCAAACAAACTGTGGCGTGTAAAGTGACACTGTTCTACTAATTGCGTTAATATGAATCAGAAATGTCCGTCAATTTAGAATCGCGCAACTTATTAATACGGTTCCTACCGTGCGCAATATGTGCAGGTTAAAAGGTAGAGAGCGATATATTTAATGTAATATATTGATACACCGCTGTTAATGCATGTTGTATAAATACATTACCAAATGCCTAGCTTTAGACCTTTCAACAACTTAAATATTGATTGATTTATCACACACGTGCGTGTCTATATTGAGGAGTAAATTAGATATACTTAAACATTGCAAAATATAGATAATATGAAAAGTGAAATCTCTTATAATAGATTTTAATTTACCTGCAGTATATGGTTATCACTGTCATTCTTGATCTTATACACTCAGATTAAAACACAGATCATATTTCGCTTCGTTTTTTATATAAGGTAGTTTAAAATTTCGCTTCGTTTTTTATAGTTCAAAATTTCGTTTTACTTGTCTTCACAACACTAGGATCTGGAAGAGTTGTTATATAACTCGCGTTCTGGTTGAAATGGGGGATTAGCCAAAGAAAAGGTCTGTTACGGAAAGTCCTTGGCGTACGTTACACGGTACTTTGGGTAAACAACTAGAAACGTCAAAACGCTGATTGATTAATCAATGTCTGATGTCATATGGTCAAAAGCCGCTCGTCTCGTAGGACCCATGTCGCGACCTCCCACTACAACCGGTCAGATATTCTTGTAGTGGAGACTATCGAAATTATTAGAGAACGAAGCGAAATATTGATCTGTATTTTAATCAGAGTGAAGAGTAAGTTATCGTTCGATTGAAGCCGAATTGCTCTCGATCGATGCTGCAGTGGGAACTGTCCATTAAGGCTTTGGTTCGCCAACCAGGAAATCCTGGATTCGAGAAGGTTCAGTGTATACATATTATCGCTCTTATAGTGACATTTCATTTGATTAATGCCAGTGGTAACTGGGCATAAATCGTACTGTATGTTTGCTGTTGTACGCTCGTATATATAGTGCTATAACTATCAATATTTTTAACAAGTTTGTCAGCATGGATCACTCGATTAAATGACGTATGTCTAAAGTAAATATAAAACCGGGCCATCCAGCAGCCCCCACCCTCGGTATCTCCAGTGGTATCGTTCCGTTCTAATCCACTAACCTCAAAGGTTTTCACGAATTCAAATTATCTGCCCTTTATCATAGCTTGATTCTACGAACCAGTCAAAAAGAAGTTTACATAGCATCATTATTTACGTTCACCACAATAATCTTAGTTGCAATAAAATGCGAGTTGCTTCCTTTCGCCCACTCGATTGGTCGATAAAAATAACAGAAGTATCAAGGGAGGATAATTGGACTATGAGTCCCCCTCGTGAATAGACCCATGGATTACCGGAGTATAAAGAGCCACGCACTACACGTACATCAAACAATAAAGCCCTCCTTAATTATTCGAAAACAGTAATATTTAGCTTGTCACTTGTTACTGTGGCTATGTGGGTAAGACGCTGGCTCGCTAGCCTGGAGGTCGGGTGTTCAATCCCTGCATTGGAAATGAAATGAAATGGAGTTTAACGTCCTAATGTTCTGCTCCTAAACTGGAGTAATGACGACGGCAATCCCTGCATTGGCCGAGAAAGTTCATCCAGATTTTCCGGCGTGGTTCCCCCTTGTCAGTGATGCAGGGCAAAATTTCCTCACATTAAATCATGCATAGCGTATGCACGTCTTCATGAGCCTGGAACGTGGGACGCTAAACCCGATTTCGGAGCAGCACTGAACGAAAACGAAAACAATAACAAAGACAAAGAACACAGTTTATTTACAAAAATAATTAAAACTCTTATGTTAATGAAACATCCTAGAAATCAATTTCAGGTAACAATATGTATATGTATACAATATAACGGCAAGAGTATGTTAAAAAGCGTTTACAAGATCCTTGAAATGGCAAGAAAATAAATTATATAGCGTCGTGTAAGTCTAGAATTACCAAAATGGTTTAATTATATAAAATATTATGTTACTAAAAGACATCTTTCAAATTTTTTTGTGGAAAAAATATTTTAAAAATATTATGGATAACCATATTTGTACAATACATGTATTTTTTTTAAAAAAATTACATTTTTGGTCTATTAAAAAGGCCTTTGTCGATGTTACATCAAAAACCTGTTGAATATTACAGAAATCAAGTTTTCGATACTGTTGGGTGTGCATTGAAGAGGATTTAATTCAAAGCAATGGTACTATCAATCCAATCTTGAACAACAGTTACATCAGATGCAATAAAAGGTTTGTCGTCGTCACACTCTAACTGGGGTTTGGCAACCAAACCATGGAGAGCATACCTTCCTCTCTGGTTACAAATAACCATACCACCGTTATCACCCTAAAATCATCAAATATAATTTCAAATATCTGTCATACTGGATCAAAAATTGTTCAATGGCATTTAGTAATTGAACTGGAATATACAGGTCACAGTTCTATGGAATACAATTACTGTTTATAACTGAGCGACGTTTCGACTAGGTTTCTCTAGTCATTATCAAGCAATGCTCAGTAATCAGCCATAATTGTATTCAGTAGAATTGTGACCTGTATGGATCAAAAATGTTTAAACATTAAAGGCGGCAAACATCACTTATTGGTCAATTTAAATCAATACTGGTGTTGTTATCTTACCGTGAAAAGATGGGCTAAGACAAAATGAATAAAAATGTTAAAATCGGCACACGAATCGCGTGCCAAAATGCTTTCTAGCACCATTTGTAATGAAGCGACTCGATGAACGAGGCTAAACATATCCCACAGGAAGATACTATACCGGTTTAGACTAGAATAACCAGACGCCAAAGACTGCCATTCAAATTAGATTCTTCGCCTATTTGTCCGAACATAACTGATTAGAAATTATAGTAAAAACAGAAACGATTGAATGTAGATAAGTTTATATACATTCATTACATTATTATATACGTTGCTACCCAAAATAAAGTGATTTAGCTCTAAGTCTAAATATTCCCCACGCGGAACAACGTAAGCTTTCTCTTTAACCTCACCATCATTTTTCCGGTTGATCCAAGAAAGTTGCCCCATTTCACTTACTCTTTATTAAACATCGGACACTATGTTTTTATGGGAACTCCTGGTAATTTGGTACGTTTCCTGATAAATTCAAGGAACTATTACACTAATGTGGGAACTGAACCGAGGTACGGTTAAACATCCTACTATTCTGCACAAACAGGGAACACGAAGACGGAAATACGCCATGCGGTGTGAAGGTGGATGGCTGAATGTTTACCGCGTGTGCGTTGTATCATAAGGTTTGTCATTGGGTCAAGTGGCTTGGTTTTGTAGGGTCGCCTGTCCAACATCGTGGGTTTTCTCCGGGTCTTCCGGCCCCCCCCCCCCACTGCTAAAAAAACCCTACGCGCAAGCGAATTATTGAAAAGAAATTGAACTATATGTTAGTCCTGATTTTTGTCGTTTGGACGTTAAACCCCATTTCTCTCTCACACACCATGCGGTGTGCTATGGGGGAAGTTTTGAACCAGACAGCGGCGTTTCTGATTGTATCTGGAACGTCGGTTTTTCGTTACGTGCCAGGCTCTCCGTTCTACAGCACTGACAAGAGGGAAATTCCCAAAGAACTATCTAACCGCACATTTCCGAGGACCATCCAATAAAACTGTGAAGTTAATATTAGTTTTTTTTTTTTTAAATTCTAAATTATCGCTATTAGCTTTGGTGTACAAGCTGCCTTACTTAATCTGAATAAAAAGTTTATTTCATCTGTTTTTACATATTTAAAATGCCCTATACTTGAGTCGTATGGGGGGGGCATACAATCTAGCTGGGGAATCACCAAACCTTGGGGGGGTGGGGTGGATGGCCGAATGGTTAGCACGTGCGCGCTGTATCATAAGGCCTGTCATTGAGTCAACTGGCGTGGTTTCGAATCCCCGGTTGTAGGGTCGCCTGTCCAACCTCGTGGGTTTTCTCCGGTTCCTCCGGTTTTCTCCCACTGCTAAAGCGAATTATTGAAATAAAATTAAACCATATGTTAGTCCCGAAATGACCTAGTTTGTGTCGAGTGGATGTTAAACCCCATCTCTCTCTCTCTCACCAAACAAACCTTGGTACACCACAGTCATTTAGCCCTAGATATATATTTTTAGGATTTCGGGAATTAGATTGTAATTAAGAAAGGAGCAGAAGATATAGATGTATCGTAACCTAGACGGAAAACCAAAAGTATATAAGCTTACCAAACAAGGAGTGGTCCCACTACGTAAAGCTGATGCACAGAAGGTAGCTGGTTGAGTCTGATAGAGGGAATTTCCACTATAACGAGCAATGCTTTCGCAAGCTTCCGTTCGATAAGTTTCAACCCTAGCTTGAAGAGGTACATCTGACAAACCTGTAAATACCAAAAAATACATGTTTGTACAAAGCTTTCACATCGAGATGAAAAATAAAGAAGTGGTAAATGAAAGTGTTTTTTTTTTCACCTACTCGGCTAATGAAGACGGGCAAACAGTGTACTATAAGGGATATCTGCCTGGTATGGACAGCGACCCGACAGCCTTTTCGAATTCCAACTGTCAACAGTTCTTTTGGGTGCAGGTCAATGTGTACACGGGACCTCGGTTTTTCGTACCACCTTGACGACCAGACAATGTTCTTTGTCAGGCCCTCCGTCCTGCATCACTGACAAGGGGAAACCACTCTGGAAAATCCCTATGGAGGCAGACCACCATTAATTTCCCCATTGACTTCAATGTTAATTCTGGCCTATTTGCCCACCTCCAACTTTTCCCCAAATTTTCGTTGGGCTGAATGCTTTCCACTACAGACAGAGGAACAAATGGTCATGTCTTTGCACTAAAATTTGTATGAGGTTGACCACCAAAATTTTGAGATACACAAACTTGAAGAAGCATACTAAAAACATGTAACTAGTTGCCGTACATATCGCTGTAGCTAACCTGATAACCCTCTTATCCTTCCGCCTCAAAATCATGAATATTTACCAAAACCTGGCAGAAAATGTTAATTCAAACCCTCTTCATCCATTCTAGACCAAAAAATCAACACAAATGGGCATGCAAAAGGGGAGAAAAGAGAGAGAGAGAGAATTGCTATAAATAGACGAACTACAATTCGTGGGTACCGAGATGATGAAATTTAATGGTGGTCTGACTCCCTATGAATTTTCTCGGCATATACCAGTAGCCGACCCGAGACATCCTGGCTAGCGTCTTACTAAATGTTAAATAATCAATTTGAGATCATTTTAGCATGGAGTGGGCCATGCCAAATTAGATATTGTTAAAAAAAGAAATACAAGTGACGATCCGCAATTTTAATGTCGAATTCATCCACATGTTTTTTTTTACATATATAATTTTGAATAATTTCTTACCTGAAGACTGTGTTAAGCCCCAACCTGCGACATAACATTCATCATTGCCACAGTTTGTACTAGCTCCCACATCTCTAGCATAACACGCTTTCTTGATGCATTCCGTGTACGTAACGGGACTGGCCAATTTCAGTAAAGCAACATTTCCTCCTGAAACACAAGCAATTGATAATCAGAAAGAGATAAACATTAAAAGAATACAGCACAGATGCTACACGTGAGAATATTCTGTTGAATACTTTGATGTCACTAGTTGTTTCAATATTAAGGCATTCTCATTTTCAATTGTTATAAAATAGCACTTGTTTTTATTTTGTTATAAATAGTGTATACAATTGATTTTCTTTATCACTAATGTTTATAATATATTTCATATTTCTTGTAATATAGATAGCCGAATGGTTAGCGCATGCGCGCTGTATCGCAAGGTCTGTCATTGAGTCAACTGGCTTGGTTTCGATTCCCCGGCTGTACGTGACAAGGGGTAGGGTCGAATGTCTAACATGATATGCAATCGGTGCATCGAAATATTTGGCCTTTTTTGTTAAGCCATTGTTTTTCTACTGTAAATCTGTAAATACACATATGGAATATACAATACTAATGCAGGGTTTAATTCACCAAACATATACTATGACTTATCAAGAGCTCCCATATGAGCGAAAAGTACTTTAAAAATGTTAAAATAACAATATTAAGATCTGATTGTAACACCTTCTTATTACATTAATATGTGCTTTTAGACCAATGTTCGCCTATATAAAGTTTCCAAAGAATAGAGCTGTGGGCTTGTTAATTACGAAATTCTTTTCTGTTTGTAAGATTTACTATTGCTCAATTGTGACCAGGCATCAAGTTTACTTCGTGTAAGACCGAGTGCGCTTCTCTCCACGGTCATAGACGCACACAGGTCACAGACATTGCAAGCAATAATAACCCGTCAGACCGGGGTGGGGTCCTTACAGCGCTGTTTGTGAGTCGTAGTGCTGTATAGTCCTGGGGTTTATGGTGATACAGTTTTCACTGAAAATAAAAACAAATTACCAATATGGGAAACAACCCAAGTTACATTTTGTTTATGCAATTATTCATCTTACCAGTAAGAAGTTGTTTATCGGCGAAAGTGGCGATATCAATAAACGAAGTACTGTCACGCAATGGATAACTAGGGTGTATAAAATAATCAACGACCCGCATTTCTTGTTCTTGTGCTCTGCCGAGGTAATCTACGTCAGTTTTTGATGTATTGTATTCACCAGCAACGATTAAAATGTTATTTCTGACGTTCGCATTTACGTTAAAACCAGCCCTGAAAAGAATACAATATTATTAGAAACCTCGACATGGAGAGTGATCAAAGGAAATAGGGTTGAACGTCCTACCTCCTGCAAAAATGAAAAGGGGAACCCACGCTGGAAAGTCCCTATCGAATCCATGACCTCTAGGTTAGTTAGCCAGTGCCTTACTATTGAGCTTCATCGGCTCCCCATAAAATAATCAATTACCATCGACCCCCGAAAGAAATCGGTATAATAGCATATATAGTCCACCAGGACAACAAAGCAGTATCAGTTGCAAAAGGTAAACGCACCCTGCTGTGTTACTGCAGTTGTAAATTATATGTTAAAATTTTTATTGGCAAATAAAATTGGTTCCCTGGCGACTTGGTGAAACAAATGTACCCAAACATACGGTGCTCAATGTTTTTCATATGGGAGGAAAGCCTTATTACAGGAGCTAAATCGCTAATATTTGGAACCTAGAAATTGACACAAATGGGTCGCAACGCATATAATAATGTAATATGAGTTTATATAAACTGATTTACATTCTATAGTTTCCGTTTTTACTCTAATTTCAAATACGCCAGAATTCTCAATCGAATGGCAATCTATAGCGTCTGGTTATTCCAGTCTACGCCGACAGTATTTATTGCGCATGCTTTTCTTATAAGAATATGACGTCACCGTTTGAATATGTCTAGCCTCATTCTTTGAGTCCCTTGTTACAAATAATACTGAAGCGCATTATGGTACACGATTCGTGTACCAATGGTAAAATGTCTATTTTGTCTAAAATATTGGATATAGGAAGCCTATCTTTTCCCAGTAAGATCACAACATAAATTCTGATTTAAATTGACAAATAATTCGTGTTTTCAATGTCGAAGACTTTGGATGACATTAAGTAAGAGACTTAACTACTATAAATTTGGGGGGGGGATGGCTGAATGGTTAGCGTGCGCGCGCTGTATCATAAAGTCTGTCATTGAGTCGACTGGCGTGGTTTCGAATCCCCGGTTGTACGTGGCAAGGAGTAGGGTCGCCTGTCCAACCTCGTGGGTTTTCTCCGGGTCCTCCGGTTTCCTCCCACTGCTAAAGACCCCTACGCGCAAGCGAATTATTGAAATAAAATTAAACCATATGTTAGTCCCGAAATGACCTAGTTTGTGTCGAGTGGACGGTAAACCCCATTTCTCTCTCTCTCTCTCACTATAAATTTACACAACTTACAGAAAAACACAGAACGCTGTAGTAATAACCCATCTATCATCGATCAAGACACCGGCACACTGTGAAACTGTATTATCCACGCTTACGGTGCCAGTTGTGTCTAGTTGCCGTCCTCTGATAGACACCAGCCAGGGCCATTGACATCTGATGCTGGCCTCACCGTTGATGAGTTTACTAATCTTCGTCATGGTTCCACATTCGGCGGTGCTGGTTGGTGGCACTGGGGGCGCTGGAGTAGTAGTTGGTTCGGAATCTGTGAGAAAACAAAACGTAAATGTACACTATAATAATTATCAGTTGTAAAAACTGTAATCTGGCTGGAGCCGTCAAACATATCCCTTGATGCCCACAACCAGGGGTAATTGATAGTAAATTGTTACTTCATTATTTCGCTTGTGTCAAGGAACGTACGCCAATCGCGTAAATCAAATTATCGGGCTGCTATGTTCTCGAATCACCAAGCATGCATTCATTACTATGTCATTATTCGGGTGATAATTTCAGAAGACTACATGGACAGGGCTGACCTTTTTATATTTGGCCTAATAGGGTTGCGAATTGGACTTGATCCATTTTCTGAACGATTGCTTGCTCCAGTATATATAAATATATAGGGTTGAAGAACGTAGTTAAAGGAGCTACACCGCTAAAGCAATATTATCCATGATATTCGAAATTAAAAATCCGAATTAGAGTTCAATATAAGTCCATTTCAATCAATTATTATTCTACAATGAATATTTGGAATTCTAATATCCAATATTTAAGACACACTTAACATTTTCAAATCAGTACTCGACGTCGTGTACTCCATGGACATAATGGTTTCGAATGCCATTTGTAATGAACAAAGGAACACTACCCCAGAAAACAATGCGGAATTAATTAAAATGGCTGATTCACAAACGACAAGATAATAATTAAAAATATGTGTAGAGTTGACTAAGCAGGTGCCGTTCAATATGTGCTTTTAAACCATTTTGTCTTTTCCAAGGTTCCAACGAATAGAGTGACACGCCTTTAATTAACTTGGGAAAATAACAACCGTGGGAGCGAACGTAACTTTAAAAATCACCAAGCCGTCCAAATAAATACATTGCAGTTCCTTCGTAATATATTTGTCACCCGATGAACTACATGGTCCATTATGGACGTGTCATGTGAATACATGTCTAAATAATAATTAACATAACATTTAACGCCAAGCAGAAAAACCTTCATTAACAAATGCCTACGACAGATCCTACAGATAAGATGGCCAGAAAAAATCACAAATACTGAACTATGGGAAAGAACCGGCCAGACAGCGTTATCAAGCACCATTAAGAAGCGCAAATGGCGATGGTTAGGCCACATCCTAAGACGTCCTCAAAACAACATCAGCAGACTGGCTCTAAGCTGGAACCCCCAATGCAAGAGAAAGAGGGGGCGCCAAACTACCACATGGCGTCGAACTATAGATGCTGAACTGAAGGCTTGTCATATATCATGGGCAGAAGCAAAAAGAAAAACCAGTCAGAGATCGAGACAAATGGAGAACTGTTGTGGAGGTCCTATGCCCCTTCAGGGGATAACAGAAATTGATTTGATGATGATGAGAAAGACCTGCAATAGGCACATTTAGCTATTGGCTAATGTAAAGTAGTATCAGTTGAATAGAGTAAGCCCTCTGTTTTAATTCTAATTGTTTGTTGTAATTATAAACTTATGTAGTTTATTGGCAAATAAAAAAAACCAAGACCTGTAATAGGCAGATTTGCTTCTTACATAATGCATCTTTAATGTAACTTACTTGGTACACAACATGTATATGGCGAATTGTTGTTGGAAAAACATGCTAGCTGATTGTTTCCATAGGGACTGACCGTGTAACCAGATGGACAACTGGTTCCATATACACATTGGGCAGCGTTTGCACTACTCATGTATTTACACCCTGGAAAAAACAAAAAAAATTGGAAAATCTTTATCATGGAGACGTAATTATATGATGAAATGAAATGGGCTTTAACGTCCTACTTTTCTGCACCGACTGGGCTATGACGACAATATTGACCGGACAGCGGCGCTTACGATCTGCTCTGATATCGAATTCCAACTGTTAAGGGTTCTTTTACGTGCACGCCAATGTGACCGAATTTATATGGTTCATTTTGTACAACTTCTCACGGCTAATAAATATTATTGGTACTTTTTTTTTGTAACTTCTTCATTTCAATTTAAACATTCACAATGAGTAACAATTGTAAAATCTCCAAAATGAATTATAAATATATAAACAAGAATAACAGTGGGAATATTTTGGTATAATTTTCTTTTCATACATTGCTCTCTATTTCTAAGAATGCATGTATCATTTTTGTTTTAAAAAAGTAGATTTCAAAACAAATTTCTATATTTTATTGCTAGCTATAATATTCTATATTTGATTTATGCATTCTAGATTTCAAAACAAATTTCTTTATTTTATTGCTAGCTATAATATTCTCTATTTGATTTATGCATTCTAGATTTCAAAACAAATGTCTTTATTTTATTGCTATTTATAATATTCTATATTTGATTTATACATTCTAGAGATGTGAAATACTAGAGATCAAAAATGCTAGAGATGTGTAAAATGCTCGCTTACATTAGCTCACGCTGTTAGCCGAAAAGTCTCAAAGGTATTTTCCAGCGTGGTTGCTCGGAGGGTAACAACGTCTAGGCGTTAGGATGCGGCGAAAGCACCGAGGTCCCGTTTACACCGTATCGTGTGTGCACGTAATAGAACCCTTGACAGTTGGAATTCATTCGATTGCTGTCTAGGCAATCTTCCCAAACTGCTAAATGCTAGGCCAACACTGGGATCAGAGAGAGAGAGAGAAATGGGGTTTAACGTCCACTCGACACAAACTAGGTCATTTCGGGACTAACATATGGTTCAATTTTATTTCCATAATTCGATTGCGCGTAGTGGGAGGAAACCGGAGAACCCGGAGAAAACCCACGAGGTTGGACATGCGACCCTACTCCTTGTCACGTACAACCGGGGATTCGAAACCACGCCAGTTGACTCAATGACAGACTTAATGATACAGCGCGCATTTGCTAACCACTAAGCCATCCAACTCCCCTCACTGGGATCAAACCTAAGACGCCTTTGCTAGTTTTCTATGCTTACTAAACCAATTGGCACCAAATGCACTTATTATGACCGTGTCATTGTTATCATATTTCGTCATGCCAATTTCAACATTTACGTAAATTTTTATTTAAACGAATGGTTTTCAATCTTTATCACTTTGTCATTGATGTACGTTTCTCTTTTGGGAGGAGTTCGCAAATAGTTTGTCCAATGCTTAAATGTAAATAATATTTTCAATATGAAAATTACCTGACACATAGTCACAATATTGATTCTTTACGTAAAGTAAATTTACCCTGTGGCTATATCTTAAGACGAAGAAGACGATTATGTCTCGTCTAATTGAATACAATACAAAGTACTAATATTAAATACTTGCACCGTTTTCCCTTTAATTGTACATGCGTCACGGTCGCTAAGTGAGTAAAACGCTGTCTCGCTAGCCTGGGTGGTAGCAGGTTCGCTCCCGGTGATGGCTGAGAACGTTCCTCGGGATTTTCCGTCGTGGTTTCCCGTTGTCAGTGGTGCGGGGGCGGTGCGGGGGGCGGGGCGGGGCGGGGGGGGGGCTGACAAGGACAGGTGTCTACTCGTTCGCATGGGATGAAATACCGAGGCCCCGCGTACACATTGGCGTGCACCTACAAGATCCCTTTGCAGTTGGAATTTGATATCAGAGTAGGCCGTAGCGCCGCTGTCCGGGCAAAATGTCCCTCATAGCACACTGCATAGCGTATGCCCGTCTTCATTAGCCCAATCGGAGCAGAACAGTAGGACGTTAAACCTCATTTCATTTCATTTCATTTCATTTAATTGTACATGCAATTTTAAAGGACCATCGACAGATGACTGTAATCACAGCTTTATGCACCCGTAATCGCACTCCTTATTTCAGAAACAGTGCAAATATCAAATTCTAAAATTACATATTGTTCGAGATGTCACTGTTTCAATACAGCGACATCATTATATCCAAATACAACGATGGAACAATTACATTTTCTTTTTGTATTAACTATCCGTTAACCATCTATTCGATTAAAAATTACCACCTCTTATTACTTGTGTATTAGTTAACTATCCGTTTACCATTTACGCAATTCTAAATCTACCATCATAGCAAGTATTAATTAATTATTATAATCTGCCACCACTTATTATGTATCAATTAACTATCCGTTTACAATCAATTCTTATATAACTCTACCATCCCTTATTAACTATTAATTAACTATCTGTTTACCACTAATTCTTTTATAAATCTACCATCCCTTATTAACTATTAATTAACTATCGTTCACCACCAATTCAATTATAAATATACCATTATTTATACAATGTTAATTAACTATCAGTTGAGAGAAAAATCAATTTTATTATAAACCGGCCATCGCTTATAAACTATTAATTAGGCATCAATAATTAAAACTATCCGTTAACCAAAAATTCAATTATAAATCTACCATCGCGTATGTTTAACATACATTATGCAAGAGATAAATCAGCCTATTCCAGGTCTTTCTTTAGGCCTGAAATGTTTTCTAAATTATTTATTAGACATTAATTAACTTATCCAGGCCATAATCACCTCTCGATGGCATCGGATTTCTTCGATATTAAATAGATTAGAACAATTCATCAATATTTTGATTTAAGCTAAAAATGAAGGAGCGCGACTTAGCTTCGAAGGCTTATATCCTCGCTTGCAATAGAATAATTTGAATGGAATTTTCAAATTATTCATTTTACATTATCTATTTTCGAACTATTATAGCAAGAATGACTAGCTCTTTATCTAAATCTTACATAATGTATCTTTAATATTTAAAACTATCAATTAAAAGCCTCAAAAGATAATATTCTTTTTACACGGATAACGCATAGTATTAATTTCAGAATCTAATTTACATATATGGCCATAAATACTGATAGATTTTAAAATAATAATCTGTGTTACAAATTTTAACACCATTATGCTATGGTTTCTATCTAAATATGATAGTGCATATAAACAATAAACAGTCTGCGATATCACCCTAGTTGGAAGCGGACGTAAAAGCCTAAGTAAGTAACTAAAGTAAAAAACATTATGATTCGTGATAGCAGTTATTAAAGATACATTAGTTAAGAGCTCAGTCTGAATATTGCAAGTCTTTCTTTAGGCTTCAAATGTTATAGAAATTATTTCAATAATTGGACTTTATTTACATGACAAGCTCAAAATCAACTCTGTAACCTCGGATGGCTTGGATACAGCATGGATTTAAACAGTCGTCCATGTAATAATTAAACCAATAAATGGCTGACCAAGCTAACGTTTACCGTTCATCACTGAAGGCCGATGAAAGGACTGACTATCGAGGGTACCGTTTACATTGAAAATGTTACTTGATAATCGAGAATATGTGGGTGGAGTTATCGTCTGTCAATGAAACGATCGGCAATTCTCGACAGTTCATGCCTATTTATAGTCCAAAGTTCCAAAAGTAATAACTTCGTTCAGAATAGAGTAATTTGACTAAAGTTTCAATATTTTATTTTTTTTTTTTTTTAAAAAAAATCTACTTTTCATTTGTTATAGCAAGAATGGCCAACTCTTTATTAAAATCTTAACTAATGTATCTTTAAAATTCTGTATTTATTACACCTTGCAAGGCTGGGGTCCCATTTAATAGACTGATAAGTGAAGAGATCAAATAATCCAATGTATCAAAACAGTTACGACATAATTAAATTAAATTAGATTAGATTATGTGTGTTCTTGTTTTCGGTGTTTTGAACACTTAAAACATTTTCCGTGGGTTATTTAGTACCCTGTACACGTTTGTGGTACAGTTACAAGGTCTTGTTCAAAGTGAATTGTAAATTTAACGCTTCTTTTCAAATTCTATGTTGCTTATGCCCTTCACGTAAACAAGAATATATTGAAGTGTTGGTCTTCTTGTCTGATGTTCATCATTATTTGCTTACGGTGAATACACTATAACACACCTTTTTAATTGTGTACTTCAATGAGAGAGATCCAGGTCACCTCTTTATGCGAAGGACAGTAAAAGGCGTACAGGACATCCCTGAATAACCCCTTTTGGAATATGAGTCAAATTCAACATGTTCCCCTTCAATGTTCTTCTTTTTATTTTCTTAGTACTTGTCAAGATGCTTAAAAATTAAACTCGTCATATATTGGTAAATAATTCATAACGTAGTATCTGACGATTTTAATGTATTATTCCTCCCCTTCATTTAAGTAGTCTTACAAAAGATTCTCATCAAATACTTGATGATGACAAAGTATTCTTTTCATAATTTATCACTTCTTACACAGTAACCCTTCCTTGTCAACATACTACACATTCAGAAGAAGTTATTATTTAGTTCTGTTATGTATAAGTAATTTATTACTATTCAAAATTCCCTTTATTTATTTTCGATTCAAGTGGTCTTTATCAATAATTTAATTCTTGAGTACTTACACTTTACTGTTCACCCTAATTTGGAAATAATAACCACTTTACACGAAAATCCCATCGTTCAGTGAGGTAATAAATAATTACCATGTATAATATAAATCTAGAAACTGAAATCCTAACACTAAACTCTCATAGTCATATATATCAAAAAAAATTCAAATAATATTCAAATAATGTTTCTATTTGAAATAAAATGATGCTTATTTTAAGATTCTGTTCGATCTGGGGAATTTGTATCTATTTTCTTGTTTATTTACTAGCGTGTGCAGTACATCGAGCATACGCTTGTGAATGCATTTGTGGATGAAACGGGTTCGATACAAATATATAATATTATTATTTTATTTTATTTTATTTTATTTTACATTTCATTTCAATTCAATTCAATTCAATTCAATTCAATTCAATTCAATTCAATTCAATTCTATTTATTTATTTATTTATTTATTTATTTATTTATTTATTTATTTATTTATTTATTTATTTATTTATTTATTTTATTTTATTTTATTTTTATATCTTATTTTATACTTTATTGTTTTTATCGCAACCGAAACAAGTATCTTGAACTATCATGAAGTAGAGTTTTTTTTTAAAAAATAATTGTAATAAAAACGGGCCTATAAAACTATGAATATATCTGATAAATACATTTCATTAATGAATTCACGATAGTCTTCGCCAGTTTAGAAGTAATGCTTAACAAAGTAAATAATTCATGGTAACACACATTTGATACGATACAATTGCAGAAATCTTCAGAATTAAATATAGCACATGCGTAAATTTAAGATAATATAAATAAAAAAGTTACACTTACAGTAGTCTTGAACTGTCTGTGACAGTGCCAGTCCAACACCAAAAATCAGGATAAGACAGATACTCTTTGCTGCCATCTTGGATTTATCTTTAAGCTCCAAATCTGTCTTTATTGTATGAACCTTTATATATCTCTCTTTTCTATTTCACCTCATGTAAAGTAAACAACGCATTTTCTCTCTTTTTCTCCCTTCTAAACGAGATTTGAAACGTGTGCTCCACCCCGTAGTAAACAATGGGCGCCGCGTGAAAGTCGACGTTAAGCGAGGGATTCGATTTCTTAAAAGTCGGAAATGTGAATACTGGGCATTTAAAAAAAAACCAGTTACAATAATCGTTAATGGATCAAACGTGAACAAATTAATGATAAGCTGACTGAACACACGAGACGATCTTCATCAAACATAATTAACATATTATTATATATCCTAAACTATAAACCTCGCCTTATTTTTTAAAAGAATATTTAATAGCCTGTTTAACACGATTATAATATATACTCAAGAATAGCAGTTGCAATTCGATATATTTTTTATTTTTTTTATTTTTATTTTTTATTTTTTTTAATAGAGACCACGTGGCTAAGTGGGTAAGACGCTGGCTTGCTAGCCTGGAGGTCGGGTGTTCGATCCCTGCATTGGCCGAGAAAGTTCATCCAGATTTTCCGGCGTGGTTTCCCCTTTTTGTCAGTGATGCAGGACGGAGGGCCTGACAAGGACAGCTGTCTAGTCGTTCAGATGGGACGAAAAACCGAGGTCCCGTGTACACATTGGCGTGCACGTAAAAGATCCCTTGGCAGTTGGAATTCGATATAAGAGTAGGCCGTAGCGCCGTTGCCCGGACAAAATTTACCTCGTTCTTCCGAGTCGCTTGTTACAAATTGCGCTGAAACGCATTATGGTACACGATTCGTGTACCAATCGTAAAATGTTAACAGGCAGATTGAATTGGGCAAAAATTATCCACAGCACTTTCCATTAAAAAATTTCCCTCATAGCACACTGTATGGCGTATGCCCGTCTTCATTAGCCCGGTTTGGAGCAGAACAGTAGGATGTTAAACCCCATTTCTTTTCATTTCATTTCATTACTGAAGAAACCTCATCTTATTATAGTATTAAATTGATAAATTCCCCTCGGGCGAAGACGACCGAAATTATTTTAATTTTTCTATTAACATAATATATAAGCTATCCTTTCAACGATTTGATTGACACAGTTTAATACTATGACATAATTAAATTAAAAGAACTATGTGTATGAATTGAAGTAGATTTGGTCGATGTGCCTTACTGGGATAAAACATGTAAATATAATATAATAAATGTATAATTAGTAATAGATTACACGACAACTACACGTTTTATATTTATATTTTTATATTATAATTATTCGTGCCTATCATCTGAGTGGTTTTGACAACATAATGACGGGGGTCTTCAGTAATGTTAGGAAACCAGGGGTCCCGGTGAGGAGAAATCCCACGGGGTTAGGTCTGGCTACCCTATTTGTTGTCACGAACAAACTTAGGATCGAGACCATGCCATTTGAACCAATGGTATATCCTGAGTATAATGTCCTTATACGGATTACAAATTACATCAAGGATTAATACAAAAGATGGCAATATATTAGACAATTCTTATACGACAATCAAAATCTAGCTACGTTACCCATTTTACAATACATTTAAGGTATTTATGACATTGTCACGTGCTTACAGTTCAGAAAATATAGGACGTGAAACCCCGTGCGCCTATCTTTACGTCATAGGGAAAATTTAACTGTGTTGATTTGAATCAAAAGCTGATAATTGTCTTTAAATAACTATCTATTAAACTTTTTGTTCAGATAAAAACGAAGATGATGGTCAGCATTTAAAGGTTAAAGGTTAACAATTAAGCATGGTGACGTTCACAAGGAAGTAGATTCGGTCTTATTTATCCCTTATTGGTTGTGGACCATTCCCATCTTACTGGGAAAAAGCTGAACGTGTCCAAACAAACGTGAAGTTTTGTAATAATATATTGTTACTAATGGTAACTTTAAAATCTATTTTGGTGGGAAATGGGTCTCTGTGATTTTCTCATCATCTTTGAACTTGGACTAACCAAATGCACCTAAAAACAATTAGTTCAAATGGTTTTTATGCAAATTAGTTTTAATGAAACGCCAATAGTTGGCGGGGTGGGGCACGGTAGTCAAGCGATCATGGCAATGGACCGACTTATCGGGAGTTTTCAAGTCCGGTTTCTAATCATTAGGGTTTTCGACTGTGGGGTATAAGTCAACTTTAGTTATCCACATTAACTGCATGCATGTTAACGAACCCTTGGCAGTTGGAATTTGAAGAATAGTGGGCGTATCCCCCGCCTCGTTTTGCATACGTAACCATGGAAATGACCGAAGTATTGAGTGGACAAAAGTCAAATGTCATTCCAGTATTCACGATTTGACATTACAGTTCAAGGGAAGTAACTCTATTTTAAAACCACGCGATTTTGAATATTATTCAAAATATGGATTAATTGAACATTGAGCAAGATTTGGTATCTGCCGCAGACCATAAAACAGGCAGCATATCCTGTACGTGTTGGATGAATCGATATAAGAGTAGGTCGTAGTGCCGCTGCCCTGGGTAAAATTTCCCTCATAGCACACTGTATGGTGTATGCCCGTTTTCATTAGTCCAGTTGGAGCAGAAAAGTAGGACCGTAGGACGTGAAACCTCATTTCAATTCATTTCATTTATATACCGTTTATATATGGATTTGTTTCCTTAAAATGTTAAACAATCGATTGGAATAGCGCAGATTAAGCGGTGAAAAAAATCAAAGAGAGAGAGAGGGCGAGAGAGAGGGAGAGAGAGAGAGAGAGAGAGAGAGAGGCCGGCCTATATTTCACTAGGGTGGGAGAGAGAGAGATGGGGTTTAACGTCAACTCGACACAAACTAGGTCATTTCGGGACTAAAACATGGTTCAATTTTATTTCAATAATTTGCTTGCGCGCTGTATAATAAAGTCTGTCATTGAGTCAACTGGCGGGGTTTCGATTCCCCGGTTGTACGTGACTAGGAATAGGGTCGCCTGTCCAACCTATTGGGTTTTCTCCGGGTCCTCCAGTTTCCTCCCACTGCTAAAGACCCCTACGCGCAAGCGAATTATGGAAATAAAATTGCACCATATGTTAGTCCCGAAACGACCTAGTTTGTATCGAGTGGACGTTAAACCCCATTTCTCTCTCTCTCTCTCTCATTAGGAGGTCAACATTGACAAAGTCACATGCAGGGGACACTACTCCAGTATCAGAAATAAACAACCATAGCTTATACAAAATATTTTATTAAAATATAGTATTATCATAGATTAGAGGCACATTGAAGCAGGTCCTGCGGTGGATGTTAATGATAGCAATAGAACGATCAACGTTCATTAGAAAGAACTAGAAATATATTATGTACAATATTATTTTGATTATATTAATGATTTCCGTTTAGTATAAGTTAACTTTATATAAAAAGGAGTTCTCTCTGAGGTCGTGAATGGTTTAGTAAGCCCGATTCGAATTTTTTATGTAGTCAATCCATGTTCGAATCTGACTGTTTGCAACATCAGCAACTGTTATTGGTTCCTTATCACTGCATTCAACAAATGATTTTGAAATAATTCCTCTGAGGGTCCATCGTCCATTATCGTTACACACCAACATACCACCATTATCACCCTGCAAATACATTCAAAGATATTGTTTCTTCCTATATCCGAAAATCTTGGCGTGTGTGATAATATAAAATAGGCTGAAGAACGACCATATCAGATTTATACTGTTTATACAATGAGATGATACAAGGAAAGACAAGAAAAAGCTAAATCGGATTTAACCCTAAGTGTAAGTGACAATTGCTAATCGTATCACGTTGTTCGAGGGATGCATTGGCGTTCATAATTTTAGTTTATCGATTTAATCAAATCACCCCAGATAAAATGTAGAATGCAAAATCGAAAAAAAAAATATGTTTAACATTTTAAGCGTATTACAGCTGAAAAGTTACAGTAAAACATCGGCTGAATATAAAAACACAAACAAAAAAGGAACAATTTCTTGAACGAAAAACAAACTTACAGTACATGGAACATTGCCCTTAGAAAGCGGTTCGCCACAAAGGGTACCATCTGGTCTCTTTGCTTTACCAGTAGCTCTAGCAATGGCGTCACAGACCTCGGTTTGGAATAGGTTAACTTGTGTTTGTAACAGATAAGAAGAATAGGCTGAAAGGTAAAAATAAAGTAATTGCATACTAATACCGCATCTTAGTAACTTGGATCTTTCCGGGAGAACGAGTTGCCAGTTTGCTCGCCCCTTTGTTGAGTTTGCAGCGTTTCTGCCACACTGATCAGCAGTGAATATTCGCTAGGCCGCGACAATCACTGATAAGGATGACATCGATGCGACTTAATGAGCCACAAATATTAACTTTTTTCCTCCGACAAATTAAATTCTAAAACATTTATCTATATGTATTAGAAAAATAAATAATGACGTTTGGGGTATTTGTAGGTAAAAATTATTTCCTATTTAGTGTAAATGGGTATTAAATGAGTAAAAGGCTCCATTCCGCCCGAATGCACGCGCCATTGAGCCAATGATTGACGCCGCGTGATGAGACGTCACGTGTTGAGGGTAATCATCTTTTTACAGAGATATTTGAAGACTTTCGTAATCCTCTTTGAAACTGATTGCGTTTCTGCATCAACTGTTGATTTATAATATACCTAGCACGATACCCGGCTTTACCCGGGGCCCCAAGATCTTCTTACCCGCTATCTTCCTTTCTTGCATGCTTTACCAATAGCTTACATCATCCGTTACTATTATTATACTTAATTACCATAATAAACATAGTTACCTCCAGTTAACCGTTAATAGAAGTAAAACAGTTCGGCTCACGGTCCAACATTAACAGTGATACCACAAATGTGGGGATGGGTTGCGGCGACAAAGCGTCATGGGCGAACAAACATACACTCATCTTTGATTTTATTTATACAGAATAGATTATCACAAACGCTATAATAACATTAATTGAATGGGATACACCGATGCTGCTACAGCTTGATTAATTCAATTCGGAAACTAAAACAGGTGTGAATGTGAAAAAAAAAAAAATGAACTACCGGTTTTATTAATCGATATAAAATTAATTACTAATATTCACAACAATTTATAAACAACCGAGAGAATTTATTTTGAATTAAGTTTTAAGATATTGGTCATCTTGTTTTTATTTAATATGTAGGCGTTTACCAGCAGAATGCAATTCTAAACGCACGTTTTAGAAGTTTTCAATAGTTGATGCATTTACTGCGACAAAAGGAAATGCGCACAATAAATAAAGAAAATTTAACAATTGACGGAGACATGCTGACACGGTATCACACATAGACGACGCGTCGCTGTTCTTTGATTATAAAAAAGGGTTTAATCGGTTTTAATTCTATCACGGGTCCTCACAGACTGTCACAATATTCTGGGTATATTTATTTAACACGTCTTGTTCAAATCCAGTTAAAAAAACAGTAAACTTATGACCCCTGTAGTACGATCGCGTAGAGCTTGTTAAAAAGATAATAAGGAGGATATTTACTATTTAATTACATTTTATCTCTCTACTCGGTTTATTAGAAAAGGGGAACAGTTAAGGGGAAACAACTCCCGTGTATTGTCGTAAAATATTATCATAATTAATACTCATCATATTATTTCTCGAAGTGTTTCGTTGGATTATACCATATCTCGGATTTGTCGGGCCATTGTTTCAAAAATATGCTAGATTATGCAATAGTATTCCCATTTTTGATATCTTCATTACCGAAATGTATTAAATCTTTAATACGGAATGTAAATCAACATAAAAACCAGATATGTAACATGTCTACCAACTTGATTAAAATTGTCAAATATGTTAAAATGAGTCGAAATTGTATAAAAATATTAATAGACGGACGAAGGACTGATAGTGGATGTCAACATACCTACCAAATTTGGTTGAAATCTGTCTAGTCCATCATTTTACAAGGTTAATCGATGAGGAACGAGTAGGGGTATTGGATGTAAGCCCGATTTGCCAATTGATTTCAATGTCTATTTATATCGGACCTAAAGCTACTTTCGATTTTGGCAGGTGTTTAAAAATAGTCGCTAGCTTACGCCCATCAAAATAAATCTATTGTTGCAATATGAATTGTTTTTTTCTTTTATTTTTGGCCACAGAAACTTTTGGGGCTTTTAAAATTGTTAATTAGCTAGTCATTGACTTACTAGTGTTATCATAAAGACCCCATCCGGCGATGTAACAATCTTTTCTACTGCACGATTCACCACTGCTGCGGAGATTAGTATTGGCAGGATAAGTTGGATAAGTAGGACTGGTAGGGTAAGTAGGATTGGTGGGATTAACTGCAGGCAGGCATGCTGGTTTACGACATTCTGTAATCTGGACATCTTGACTCAGTTGCAACAAAGCAACGTTAAAGGCTGAAAAATAAAGCGAAATCGAAACGTCATTGCAAATAACATGTTGCTATCAGGAAGAGATAACTACATGCATTCCCGAAAGAACTAGGATTTGAATTATTTAAATTGATGTGATGTGAGTTCTCTACAAAGCAAATAAAATGAAATGGGGTTTAAAGTCCTACTGTTCTGCTCCGACTTGGCTAATGAAGACGGACATACGCCATACAGTGTGCCATACAGCCACCGCACTACGGCCTACGCTTATACAGAATTCCAACTGCCAAGGAATCTTTACGTGCACGCCAGTGTGTACACGGGACCTTGGTTTATCATACCATCCGAACGATTATGTCCCTTGCCAGAGCCTCTATCCTGCACCGCTGACAAGGGGGAAACACGCCGGAAAATCCCGATGAACTCTTTCGGCAAATGCAGGGATCGAACACCGACCTTCAGGTTAGCGGGTCAACGTCCTACCCGCCGAGCCACCCTACACAGGACTTAATCTCTGATTTAAATTGATTTAATGGTTTGTTCACGCAAATTAAATCTATACCCACGTAAAGTTAGTTATCCGATATCGATTATTTTCTCACTTCTTCCATTGTTTTACTTAAAGATACATTAGATAGTAGAATCTATTGAACACTTATATGTGCATGTAATTCAAAGGGGGGTTGCTATTTAAAACGTGGGGGGGGGGGGGTAGCCAAATGGTTAGCACGTGCGCGCTGTATCATAAGGCCTGTCATTGAGTCAACTGGCGTGGTTTTCGAATCCCCGGTTGTACGTGACAATTAGTAGGGTAGCCTGTCCAACCTCGTGGGTTTTCTCCGGGTCCTCCGGTTTTCTCCCACTGCTAAAGACCCCTACGCGCAAGCGAGTAATTGAAATCAAATTAAAACCATATGTTAGTCGCTAAATGACCTAGTTTGTGTTGAGTGGACGTTAAACCCCATGTCTCTCTCTATATTTAAAACGGTAATATCTATTTGCAAGTGCCACTATAAACGTGAAGCAAAATGTCAAAAGATGTACATTCAAGTGATGGAAAAGGGTTGCATGGGTACAGAAAAGGGACTGTAAACATTAAAGATAACTATAGCAAAACATGAGCTAAAGAAATTCAAAACTTAAATCTTACGAGCAACTTCCTCGCCATTAAGATTAAGAAGTTCTGGATATCCACTGGGAACACTGTATTTGAAGAGCGGGTGGAGGAAATGTTTCTTAACAGTTAAAACTTGTTCTTGTTGTTGTCTGGTTGTAGGATCTGTCTCCAGTTTATCGATATTATTCTCTCCAACCACAACCAATAAGTTCTTCGATACATCAGTAACACCGTTACCAAATCCAGCTCTACCACGATAACAAAAACAAAACAATATTTCAAAATGGCAGAAATTGCAGAAAACCATAATAATCTAGTCTAATAATAGCTCGGCATTCGCTTATTAAAGATGCATTATTCGAGATTTAGAAAGACAGCTGGTCGTTCTTGCTGTAATAGTTTAAAATAGATCATGAAAAATGAATATATTAAACATTTCTGCCTAATTAGTTTATTCTGATGGAAATTATGAATTTAGCAGTGGATGCAATTATATTTTTTTTTTTATCAAATTTGTATTACTTTTAATCTAAATAAGACTTTTAACATGCAAGAATATAAAGCCGTGTGTATCATTATTGTCAAGCATTTTTGGCAAATATTTCGTCATGACCGGTCATGTAAGCGTTTAGCGCGGATATGACGAGCATTGTCTAATCCAATCAATATCCAAGCCATCCGATTATCTAGAGAGTCGATTGGGGCTTGTCTTGTGGATAAATGTCTAATATAACGTTTAAAGTCAGAAAAACGTCATGAATTAGCAAATTTGGATTTCGCACAATACTTCTTTAATTAATATATTCTACAGAAGTACGTGAGACATATTTTTAGTTCGTAAAGACTGAGATTTCGAATAACGCTGTCCTAACATTAATAGACATTACAGTTCCACCAAACCACGGCCAAAAGAATATTATCGTTGGTCTCAATCCTCAATCGAACCCAAAAACACCCTATCGAACTTACAGATACACAGCACTGCATATATTTTTTAACCTTTAGAATGACAATACTTACAGAAGAGGACAATAAGCAGAAGTCAAAACCCATCGTTTGTCAATCAGGACCCCAGCACAAAGAGGTAAACTGTTTTCGTAGGTGGTGTATCCAGTACCCTGGGTATTACCTCGGATAGACACTTGCCATGGCCAAGCACACTGAGTAGCACGGGTACCAGCTAATATCCTCTGGGTTTTAGATATACCACAGATGCCGTCTACATTAGGTTGAGATGGAGATGGAGATGGGTATGGGTAGTATGGGGTGTACGGGTTATTTATTACTTTAGCTGAAAAAAATTATATTTCAGTATTGCATAAGATAAATACAATCCAGTACCATCGATCTATACCAGGAACGCATTGATTTTAATAAATTATAAACGGAATACAAAAGCAGAAAAAAATAACAATCGTTTAGAATAATAATAAAATCTTAACTGACATGTTTGTTTATTGTTTGCCTAAACGGGACTACGTTGGATCAATTATATTGAAGAACACCGTCTAAATTACTTGGTCATCTGAATCCGAGAAAATTCTTATTGAAATGTGAGTTTATTGTTACGTCGACATTTCTAAAAGCAAATTGCCCAAAAAGGCGTTGCTAGTACAATTAAAACAAATAGAGCAAATTTGGTAAAAAAATTGACTATTCACCGCCATTTTGAAAGCATCTGAAATCATTAGAATGTTCTTTGAATTTATTGCCCAATCGTAGTGTTTTTGACGGAGAGTATGCAGTTTCTAATTCGTGGACAGAGAAGAATGAGCTACATAAATATGTGTTCTAGTTTACTGTTTATCTGAACCAATGAGCATCCGGATTAAAAGGTAGTCAAAAAAGAAATCCCTAAAGTGCTCCGAGATCTATGTGAACTTTACATTAACTGATATCTTATTTGGAAATATAAACAAATATATATTGACTTGCATACTTTTATTTCACCATAGGGTGTTTACGAATTCAGCAATAGATTTTATATTATTGAACAAAATATTTTGATAATGATTTTGTGAAAATCGAAAGTCAGTTTATACCCTATTTTCCAGCATGTTTTCGGATACTCGCCGATATTTTTACAATTACTTGAAAACCAGTTCACATCGATGACAGATGTTTATTGCACTTTTGAATTTTGAAAATAATTTTGTCGACAAGCAAATCAAATATATATCAAGTACACACGAACCTTACCAATGGTTAACATTAAGTCAAACGGAAAGAAGGTACATCCAAACTGGTAGCTATGTTAATTTCACTTTCCAAATGAGTGATACCAGGCCTCCCAGTAAGGGCATACATACCATCCAGAAAATGTAGCTAAATTTGACCCAAATCGTGGTTGCATGTTCAATGCTGACTCTCCTGGTGTCTGATCCCGTGCAAGAACATCCTTGTGTTGTAAGAGCATGACAGCAGTGGCGGACTGGCCAGGTTGTCTGCTTGCCCAATGGCAAGTGGGCCCCTGAGGATGTGACCCCCCTTAGACACTATAGACAATATATTTAAAATATAACTTATCCAAATATATATAGATATTAGAAAACAATTATTAGCATGAAAATATTATAAAAGTTCTATTATATCTTCAATTCTATTACGGTCTCCTGGCAACCAATATTTTCAGACCCAGTCCGCCACTGCATGACAGTAAGAATCAGTGGTCCTATTTACGAGGTCTTAAACTAAAATGTTTTAAGTGTGCAGCCATTTCATTGGTTCAAAGCCAATAAATTGTACAGGAATTTTAATTCCCAGCCTATAAAAAGGCTGAATTCTTTAACACATATTAGTTTTTGATTTCGTAGAAAATTGTAAAAACTGCGTTAATGTATATTATAAAATGTAAAGGTATAACGCAAAATTTTTCAAATGAATAGGATATCGTGTGATCTAGAAAAGACTCAAATACCTGGATCAGGTTCACAGCAGACCGATGGGTAGAAATTACTGTTGACACAGATATGTGGATTGGTAAAACCGGACGGGAGTGGTTTGTGTGTTGAAGGACAGTTGTACTGGAAACATATTCCTCGACCATTCGTTACAACTTCACAAGCTGTAACAAAAAATAGGATGAACAGAATCAAACACCATTAGAATATATCTTTATTACAATAAAATACTGATTACATGGTGTTACCAATCTTAAGGGGCCACTGTGGCTCAGTGAGTAAGACGAGTTCGATCGTGAAAGTTCATCGGGGTTTTCCGGCGTGCCTCAACTCTTGTCAGTGGTGCAAGATGGAGGGCTTGGCAAGAGACGAAAGACCGAATCACGGTGTACACATTGGCATGCATTTAAAAGAATTCGATATAAGAGTAGGCTGTAGTGTCGCTTCCCGGCAAAACTTCCCTCATAGCACACTATATGGCGTATGTTCGTCTTTATTAGCCACGTCGACGAAGAACGGTAGGACGTTAAACCCCCGTTCCATTTCATTTCATTTCGCAACTTTAAGCAAACGGAAGTAAAGGGCGCAAAAACACGTGGACCTCAGTAACCATACGTTTACATGACGTATAACAATAAAAATGATCCTTTCAGTATTATCTAATTCTGGTAAACGAAGAATGCGTTTGTTTTGCAATGGTATAATCGAATTTATCAGTATTTCAAAGGGTTTTTATGTTATTAAAGATTGATTATATTAAAGAAAGGAATTGTAGACTAAACAGGTTCACACATAGAGTTGATTAGATCAGGAATACATCATCTACAAAGTAACACAAATACCGGTATATTTGACGTAGACGCATTTAGATAATAGATTTGTCTTTTGTCTTAGAGGGATACTGTGCGCACATTGGCGTGCATGTAAACTAACCCTTGACAGTTGGAATTCGATATAAATGAAATGAAATGAAATGAAATGGGGTTTAACGTCGTATTGTTCGGCTCCGACTTGGCTAATGAAGACGGGCATACGCCATACAGTGTGCTATGAGGGAAATTTTGCCCGAACAGCGGCACCACGGCCTACTCTTATATCGAATTCCATCTGTCAAGGGTCTTTTACGTGCACGCCAATGTCGACCTCCAACTACTGCCAAAGGTTATTTTACGTTATGCCCTTTTTTTCTACTTATCCGAACGATCAGATACTGTTCCTTGCCAAGCCCTCCGTACTTTACCATTGACAAGGCGAAACCACGGTGGAAAATTTCAGCGGAAACAGAGATCGAACCCGGGACCCGTCGGGTAATGTGCCGACGCCTTACTGAGCCACCGTGGTTCACAATTCGGCTTGAAGGACAGCTGGGTTTATATTGCGAAATGGCCTATTTAGAGTCTATAACTATTTTGAATATACAACTATTCAAAATTTCATTTCGTTTAAAAAATGATAAAGCACCTTTAAACTGTGTGTTAGTAAATATCAACTGCATTGACAAATAAGTAAAACTTTCAAAAGAAAACAGGTTTTAGCAGAAAATGGGGTTTAATTATATTTGTTCACGCTTGAAACAACTCCCATAATTTAAACAGAATAGTGTTGCCAAAAATGTGTAAAGACGACAAGTTGACGATGGGGATTCACACCAACCTACAATAACAGAGTAAGTAAATACGGATAATTTTTAAGTCAGTTCGTCAACAAAATAATTCAAATATTTCTCTTCCAACTTTTTAATTGTATTAAATTCGTGAATCATAGAATGTGAATACGCAACCTTAAAGCCATTGGTCTTCGTTTGAGTTTTTTTTTTTTTTTATAAATGCAACGAAAGCTACAATATTCGTCTAAGTATTTACCAAGACAAATGGATTGAGAATTATCCGCAGGCTATACAAATGAAATGAAATGGGGTTTAACGTCCTACTGTTCTGCTCCGGACGCTATACAGTGTGCTATGATGGAAATTTTGCCCGGACAGCAGCACTACGGCCTACTCTTATATCGAATTCCAATTGTCAAGGGATCTTTAACGTGCACGCCAATGTGTACACGGTACCTCGGTACCTCTTTTAATCCAACTAAATCCGCTGATATTTTGGTTTGTTGACTTTGGGTACGTGGATTAAAGGGTGAAAAATTAGACTTCCGAAAAGCACTAAAAAGTTACATAATATTAAGGTGGCATTAGCTAAGAATAGGTAAAGGGCAGACAGTTCTCGCTATAATAGTTAACAAAATAGATATTGAAAAGGGAATATTCTGAAAATTTCAGGCAAATTACTTCACTCGGCGATACAATTATGGCTTTGCCTCGATTGTCATTATTATCGTTGTTACGATAATAAACAAAGTCGATTATCCCTTTTTTAAGGTAACCGTATCGACCATAAAACGTATTTAAATTTACTTATATCGCAGCCACCCGATGACATCGAGAGTTGATTATAGTCTTGGTGAGTTGATTAATGTCTAATTAATTATTTATATAACATTTTAGGCCCACAGAAAGACTTCTGGTCTTCCGGTTTCCTCCCACTGCGAAAGACCCTACGCGCATGTGTTAATCTCAAAATGACCTAGTTTGTGTCGAGTGAACGTTAAACCGCATTTCTCTCTCTCTTCTTGTATAACTAGTATATTAGTTTTATAACTGCTAGAATTAAATGTTTAGTATTAGATTTCTATTAACTCTAACTATGGTATACGAGTTTTAACATCTTAAAGCTATCCTAAAAAGTGAACAAAACCAAAAAATGATTTCCAGTTTTTTAAATATAAAAACCCAATCGGTAGGCGGTTTATTTTATTATTTTTTTTTTTTATAAAAATTAGTTAAAATTAAAATAAAATTAACTTACGAAGTGCAACTGATAAGCCAATGTAGAGCATCAAACACACGGCGAGAGCCAATCTGTTCATGGTGAGGTTTGTTAGAGGTTTGACAGATGAAGTTGTAAGATTGGACTTTTAAAACATAAACTTGTTACATAGTGTACAAACAGTCAAAGGTATATGGACAAAGACGGTGGTCCCTTTTTACTCCTCCCTCCCCGCAAATATGACCTTTAACCTCTGTATATCAAGCTGATGACCCACGATTTAATTGTATAGTACAATCGGAACTGTTCGTCTAGGGGGGTATTTGCTATTGGCCGGAAGAGTAGATTTTCTAACCAAAAAACGCAGAATATAGTACTTGATAAGTAGTTACAATATAAAATATAAAAACGATGATGGAGTTAGTTAAACAGAGACACATTTAAACACTGCGGAAGTTTATATTCATATATATGCATCATAGAGCGTTATATCACGGATGTTAACCCATCAAAGAGTAAGTGAAATGAGCTCTAGTTACCGAGTGTTCTGGTGATATTTTTTTGACCAAATCCCAACTGATTAAAGTAGATGTGTTAAAATACAAAGAATTCCTTGATCTTTTAATGATGAGCACGTAGTTCTACTATTGACTGTAGACAGATGGTTGAAGACGATAATTAATGAAGAACACCCCTCTTTCTTTCGCTTTTGTTTATTCATGGGCATCCCACGAGAGACTTTGTTGCTGATTGACCAATCCCCAAAGAAGACTTGAACTCCGCTATTTGTAAATGTTGCGTTAATTTCTGATATTGGCTGTCAAACGGATATAAAACTGGGCGTGATATATCGACCATACAGGTTTAGTTCTTGATAGCAGGATTTGATACACCTGTGAAAGGGTACATCAGGGGAACGGCATAAAGAAAAATAATCGGTTTTTAGTTCAGGCTAAGAGGTCAATTTAGGAATTTTAGACAAAAACAAAAATTTCAATTTTATGTTGCAACACCAATATCGATTATTTTGTTGCGGCGTCAACGGTTTGGAGATCTGTGTCGTTAGTACCTTGTCAAAAACAGAACTATTATGAGTATAAAGATATAAAATGACACAAATCAACGATGATTCACCTTTTTGAAGCTGTTTTAAGTTACTCCGTTCGTGACATCTTATATTATTACTATATCCCTATTTTGTTGTCAAAAAACAAGAACGTTGTCTCATATACCAAGAAGAGAAAATCAAATATTCAGCTGTTATTGATCAACCAAGGTACCTGTAGCATTAACTAGAACTCGTGTGGATGGTATCATGATTAATTGATGATAATACTAAGATTACAATCTTTACAGTAAATATTTGTAATAGCTCGTTTTTTCCCATCAGATATCACGCTAAGAACACGTTAGATGGGTTGCTAAATCTATTCTCTAAAATAGTTTTCGAACACGGTTTGGCTGCAGTGTTTCCGTTGGGATTCATATTTCTTAAGAGACACGCTTTGTACATTGCAAATGACCAGTAGCGGATCTAGAAGCTGGGAATAGGGGGTGGTGCCAAAACTAGAGAGCCATCCACAATACACCTCTACAATGAATGTAAAAAAAACTTGAACACTGGGCCCCGTTTCATAAAAATTTAATCTCCTTAAAATCGTCTTAAACTAAAATTTCATCCTAACTTAAAATAGACAGGGTTTCACAAAACGATTTTAAGCATTTTAGATAAAATCCACTAGAATAATATTTAAACAATTATCTTTTAACTTAAAATAGTGGCGTTTCACAAAAACTATTTTAGGGACAATTTTAACTAAAATCAGTTTCAACTTAGGACAGCTGTCAATCTCTGCTAACTTAAAATCACGAAATTAACAAACACTGATTACGGTTACGTTGTTCGATCTATTGCGAAATATAGATATATTTGGAATAATGTTAATACGGCCAATGTCCCAGGTCACATATTTTTACTATACAATCATCCACAAAAATAATTCTCATTCGATTTCTTTTCACATGGGAAATACAGCCATGTTCCACCCGTTAAGGCAATTTATACAATTTGCTGAGGCCCAAAATTAGAACTCCAAGAAAAAAGCCCGCCAAAAACCCCAGTAAACCAAACCCTTTGTTGTCGTTTAATATATTACCAATTTGCTGAGGCCCAAAATTAGAACTCCAAGAAAAAAGCCCGCCAAAAACCCCAGTAAACCAAACCCTTTGTTGTCGTTTAATATATTACCATATGATTCAAGTAAAAATTATACCATTTTCAAATCATTAACAGACAGAACAAAAACAAATACAATAATAATAAATAAAAAACACTTAATATCTTATGTCACGGAAAGAAAAGCTCTCTTATCTATAAAAAAATATCAACGCTTAAAATAGACAATTTCTTGGTATTAGAATAAGGCCTATAATACTATACATGCCATATGCAAAGTATTTACTCATATGGTTTGGTGTGTTAAACGATAAATCAATAATCTCATATGTGTTTATTGAAAACTGTTATAGGTCTATTCGAAATTATATTTTAATATATATTATAAAATTATTATTATTTCTTAATAAAGGCTTACGTTAATACCACAGCATAAATCAGATAGGTTTAGGAGCCAAAGATATTTTATCTTGGGGGAAAAAATCATTTTAACTGACTAAGATAGATAGGCATTATACATTATTTTTTTTATTATTTCTTGTGAACCTTGGGGGCGCTAAGTGTTTCCTTTGGGGGAGGGGGGCCTCCCTTAAATCCGCGCCTGCAAATGACTACATTTAATAGTATCTGAATTGTTATAGGTTATGTGGAGAGAATATCTTTAAAATTGTTTAAAGTTTTTAAATTACCCAAATCGATGCTGAAAGGGATATTGTTCAATAGATCCTTCTAAACAGTATTAAACATACATTATGCAAGAGCTAATTCTGTCTATTGCAGGTCTTTCTTTAGGCTTGAAATGTTATATAAATTATTAATAAGACATTAATTTACTTATCCAGGCCATAATCAAATCTCGATGGCATCGGATTTATCCGATATTAAATAGATTAAAACAGTTCAGCCATATTTTAATTTAAGCTAAAAATGGAGGAGAAAAACTTAGCTTCGAACAACCAGTACGGTGGTTGATATTATTGCACACGTCTTGCCAAACCTGAAGATCACGGTGGCTAAGAGGGTAAGGCGCTGGCTCGCTAGCCTGGAGGTCGGGTGTTCGATCCCTGCATTGACCGAGAAAGTTCATCCAGATTTTCTGGCGTGGTTTCCCCTTGTCAGTGATGCAGGACGGAGGGCCTGACAAGGACAGCTGTCTAGTCATTCGGATGAGACGAAAAACCGAGGTCCCGTGTACACATTGGCGTGCACGTAAAAGATCCCTTGACAGTTGGAATTCGATATAAGAGTAGGCCGTAGTGCCGCTGTCCGGGCAAAATTACCCTCATAGCACACTGTATGGCGTATGCCCGTCTTCATTAGCCCAGTTCGGAGCAAAACAGTAGGACGTTAAACCCCATTTCATTTCATTTCATTTCTTGCTAAACCTTCAAAGGCTATCTTCGCTCGCAATAGGGTAATTTGAATGAAATTTTCAAATTATTCATTTTACATTATCTATTTTCGAACTATTATAACAAGAATGACTAGCTCTTTATCTAAATCTTACATAATGTATCTTTAATTAAGGCAATTAAAGTATATGAACGTCGTATGGCGGATCGTTAAAATCTCTCTCATTTTAATCCGATTTACATTGAATCGAAGCCATGGGATCATCTACCATGGGTATTTGATTCTGTATTCTTAAGAAATTGCTAAGAAAATCATTTTGCGTACATTAACTTAGCACGGATAAAGTTTTGGAATAATTTGATATCTTCAGACGATTTCAATGGGCGTGGCTTTTTGGTGTCGGATTGTAGGGTGGGATGGTGACCACTTATTGTGCATGAGGACAAAACCCATTATTTAGATCGTTCAGAGGTGGTTCTCTTTCCGAAGTACAGAGAAGTTTTGGCCTGTGTAGAATATTCTCATGAGAGGGTGCACAAAAACTCAAGAGGCCGTAAAAACTGAATTGCTTAATCTTAACTTTCTACTTGGTGCTCGATTCTAGTAAATAATGGATCTACTAATACAAATTATGTTCTGTATTGACAAATCGTTGTACATGACCCCCTTATATACGAGGGTTCCTTTAAGAAAACATGTTTGTCTAGTTGTCTATCATAGACATAACCAAACCAACTATACTTTCATTTCTTAAAATTTAGATAAAGAGCTGGAGGTTCCTAATATAATAGTATAAAAAAGGTAATGAAAAACGAATATACTGAAATTTCATTTAAATTACTTTATTATGGGCGAAATTATGACTGTTTGAAGATGTAGCGCAACTCGTTCATTATCGTGGCAACGGTACTTGACAACCGAAACTGTGCATTTTATCGTTAAATTTTTAAATCTCGCGGAAGTTTAAATCCATGCTCTAGAGAGTTGAAACCAGGACAAAAAACCTGCAATAGGCAGATTTAGCTCTTGAATAATGTATGTTTAAGACACGATGAACATTTTCAAATCAGTTCCCAAATTGGGGTTCTCTGTGGTCTTAAGTGCCATTTTAACTGTTTCTATAACAATATAGGAGAATTCCCTATGGCTCTATTTATATTCTTACCAAAATAATTCAGTTCCTAGATTGTGATTATTTGATATATTATTTCCAAAACGTCGATGTACCCTGTCCATTTAGAGTTTTAATTACGTTACATAAATACCATTCTAGACAATCGTGCGTACATTCTGCATTTGATGACCGATCAGTTTATGTTATGGATCTGTGCAACCACAAAACACTGTTATGGATTCTTTCTTATTTTACTTTCACTGGATTTGGTTTCAAGTTCGATTCTGATTCAGTTTCCATTACATTTTATTTGCATGTGGGGGCCTTTTTCCATTTAGGGACTTTATATAAATGCGAGCTCTTCGCGGTTATCACTCGTAAACGAAAAAAGTACTGAAGATCCACAATCAAAGATTTAACAGCAATGTATTTGGTTATATTAGTAGACATTCTCAATCATATTGACTTGTGTACGGCTATTCGCTGGACTCGGGTTCCGGATATGGAAGGAATAATTGTTTCCAATGCCATCCATAGTTCGTGGACAAGCCGAGTTGCCTGTGCTAAAACCTGCTCGATGCGCTCTGGTTGCCTTTCATTTTCGTGT